TGGTGAGGTATACGAGTCCTCTCCAAATCACAATGGTTATATTTATGTTACACAGGAATCGGGTTTGTATTGTATGAGAGTCGTCCAAATCAATGAATGCTATGCATCAATACTCGACAATCACGTGATAACTTGAATCTGTGCTTGAATTCACAGAATTGGACCGTATAATATCATCAGAACCAAATGCTTCAGGCGCCCGAAATTTGAAAAGTCCAGTTAGACTTTTGTTTGGTATCCTGGATGTAGCTAATACTGAATTTGGTTGAGTTCCCTGGTCAACAGTTTTCAAAGTTTAGTCCAGTTTAAACAACCGTGAGTCACTTTTGGTTGCTGTCTTTTGGCTGCCTGTTTGAATGAACAATATGAGTAAAACAGCAAGGTTGAACGTATGATCGAAGAGAAGATTGAGAAGTTCGGTGGACTAATGATGCAAAGAAATTGATAAGATGCACCAACAATTTTTAGAAGGATAAACAATGGCACCGGAGTGAATGTGTAACGAGGTCACATCAAAATGTCCAAATACAACAAGTGACGTAGTGTGTGTAATGCGAATGTGATTCAGGATTTTGTTGGTAACCAGGGTTACTTTAACTCGCGTTCCTTTCTAAAGTGTTTTTAAAAAGATACTCCTCGAAAAGTAGTAAGGATGTTTTACAAACGCATTGAAGATCAAACAAAAGTAGGCTGTATTGGCTATCCAGGTATCACGTAGCCGCAGCATTGTATACAGAAAATACTGGTTGGCTGTTCACAAGTAGTTCCGCCTAACGAAACTGGAATACCGAATCAACTCCGAGCTCTAGAAGTTGATGAAAATTCAGCACATTGACATGAGTTCCGTGAGACACATTTGAAGTAAATTTCAAATGTCTTTGTACGAGGCTCCCCCGTACTAGGAGCAATTTTTGCCCCTCTGACGGCGCGAATCGATACCTCTTGCGTTGAGAGACCTAATCATTACCTTGGATTAATACGTAGATAGCTTTTGAAGGTCAGTAATGTTTGGTATTCGTGAACCGGTTACAACTCCGTTCCACTCTGTTGGGGTGAATCTGCGTCCTTACTTTCGAAGTTAGGACATATCGATAAAAGACGGAACCCTGCAGCTTCGTTGCGATGTCAGTTATGTTTTGCGAGCACTAAACTTACCCCTAGTTTCATTTTAGTGGCTAAAAATGAGCGAAGACCGATGTGGCATGTTACCAAAGCACTAATTCAGTTGGATGGCACAGAAGCACGGTCCTAAAATACGTACCCATCGATTTTGCAATAGGACGGAATGAATTTTCTCTCTCAAAAACAGTCCAGCAAACATTCTGTTGTCGTATGCCGGCTTATACGTTCCATCACTGGTTTGGATTGTCAGAGAGAACCGAGGACAGCTGTCAGTTCAAGTCAGGCGTGCAGGTCAGATGACGAGAGATGAAAATGTGATCGAGTTACCATCACAACCACCACCACCATCAGTTATGATGAGATCTATGCTATGCTGGAGGTAATGGGTAAGAGCACAACAACTCAAAGCACTAGCACCAGCGGAGATAAAGGATGCCAGAATCACAAAAAAACATACTCAATTATCCGTAGCTCAGTAATGCGTAACAATTAAAATACTTAAAATAGGCATTGCTGTTTTTGTTCGAAATGGTTATATATCATGGGAATTTCAAGGAGAGAGGTGCCCTTTGATTATTGGTCGTCTCCAAAGAAGGAATCCAGAAACGTGAATGATCCACCATGTGGCACCATTATACGGTTCACTCTCCGGTGATGAAAACAACAGAGCCCAAACTATTCATATTTGCCGAGGGAGTAGTTGTTCTTTAGGTATGTGTGCCGGGGCGGAGATCGAGTCTGAGAACTTTCAAATATGAGTACACATCACTGGGGCGACCTGTAGCCTAACGTGGTTGCTTCTGATCAAAGAGGTTCCGATATCATGTTGAACTCCTCTATTTTGCAAAATTTATGCGGTTGATCTCGGATACATTTTTCGTGAGAGATTTCATTACACGTTTTGTGATGGTGCAATAGAGAAAGAGACCAGAGTACTGTTTTGAGTGAAACACTGTCAAATAAACAATGACAGGTAATCACCCAGAAAACAAAAATTAGAATTGCTCATTTATCCGCCTCCCGAGGGATCGTGGCATGCAAAACCTATCAATGGGTGAACGCTGGGATCTGATCCTATTCAAGTGTATCATCCACCGGACGACTTGTCATTTAAGACCCGTAGGCGATACAAATTGGCAAAGAATTTTTTTTTGTTTTTTTTATTGGGAATCTTTTGCTTTCAAATTTAATTTTTTACGGACTGAATTTAAATGAGAATTTGTCCCAACATATATGAAAAAATAGATCATTTCCTCACATGTATCTGCCTAATGGTCACCACTCAGCTAAATGCCCAGATCTATGAAAATTACGCTTATCTTGTGATTATCGCAGTCTGAGTTATTACCCTAATGGACGGTCTCAGGTGACCATTCCCACGTGAAACACTACCGTATGTGTTATCCTGGTATAGACTTATTAGTAGTATGAAATTCCCAATAAATTGTCTTCGGAAATGTATGCGGATTTGTCTGAAGAGTGCCCTTCTTGTGACGACCATTGACCTCGCGGAGCTGATAGTTTTGAATCGACACAACAATGAAAATACTGAGTCATTATGGGAGAGAACAACCTGTTCCCTATTTCAAATACTTGTATGTCTACTCCATACTTGATGTATCAAATTTATGACGTATCGGCATAAAATGTATGCTGTCCCCCGTGAGTGGTGGAGGCGCAGTGGTTTAGTTGCCCTCACATGTATGCTTTGGACCCTATTGTCTGAGGTTCGAGCCCTGCCACCGCCACCCAACTTTGGTGGTAAGCAGCTTTACTGTCTTCCGGTCCAACACCACACCTTACCTATCGGGGCCTTATATGGTTCGCCACTCCAAGTCCCGGGGCCTAGGTTACCGGTTTCCATCACTGAACAGTAGGTCTTCGTGACTATGGGGTCCAACCCATCTGCTGTTCATCACACTTAGGTGGGTAATAAAACAATTTACAGCTGAAATTTTGCGTTGGAAAGCGGACGAATCGTTGGTCACACAAATATATTGTTCTTCGTGTCCAGTTATCCACATACACACTCAAAAACACCGAGTTGCTAACCCCCTTGATAGAGAAAATATTTTCTGCCGTATTTCACTGTCAGAAACCGAATTGCGTTCTGCGTAGTAGCCCAGCTTTAGCGTGATTCCGACCCGTTTTCAGACCCACCCTACTCGTCTCTCTGTGGTTAACGCTCTGGAAAATATTGCAGTTCAGCTTGTGGGCGTATGTGATGCGGAATAAGCACTGGCAGTCAGTGCCTCCAGTATGTGAATTGGAAACAACATGTTCTGTTACTAGTCTGTTAGTGCAGCTTTGCACAAACCAGTATTTCACGTATTTTACGTAGTTCGAGATTAATAATACAACTCTTTTTTGAACCCTGTTCTCTGCATGCTAGTTTGATCCAATGTTTTTATGTCAAACTCAATCATCCATCTTTCAGTATTTAAAACTACCTGTTATAACTGTATGCTCCTGATCAGGAAGAACACAAGTCACTGAACTGGAATGAGCTGATTGTAATTGTGTGAACAGGATAGATCTGTCGATACTGGTAAGGTTGATAGCCAGACCGACCGGTCGTGTAACACCCAATGCGAGCGAGCTGTGGAATGTTTTGAGCTCTCTCATCACACCTCCCTCCTTTTAAAAGAGCATCTTGTAATCGTGTTTTAAGTTGTTTAGGCGCTGACACTCATCAGTAACTTGTTATAAGATAACCTCCGTATCAGTTTCGAGTTTGGATAATAACCGTGTGCGAATGTCACTTCCTTTGGGGGAGTGAAGAGCACAAACAAAATTAAGAGTTTTAACTGATCATCTGTTAGGCCTTTGTGTTTGAAGCGTTCGTATTCACGATTAACACGACTGGTGTAGGAGACAAAATCTTCCTCAACCGCCTTAGAAACTTTTATGCATTGATAGTGCATACTGAACAAGGATAATCTTCCACCAAAAATTGCACTCAGGTGCTAGATTGATTCTTCTAAGTAGAGGTCCCTTGGATGTTTGGGCAGGGTAAAATACAGTATTTTTCGTGTTCTGCTGGGCCCAATTTACGAAGTAAAAGTCGAACACGCGCGGCATCGTCTAGTGAGCCACAATCAATATTCAAGATATCCTCATATCTGCGATACTACACCTCGAAAGTGACACCAATATCAGGATCATGGTGCAATTCATTGATAGTTTGGAACAGATTTTCGACTGTCGAAATCTTATTTTTTTTCTGCACACAGAGCAGTTGAATCAAACTCTCAAACTATTCCTGTTGTTGTTTTAATAGCTGCTACAAAGACTACCCTGAAACAACCAATTCCTACCGTCGCCAGATTGCTATAGCTGTACGCCCCTGATCAGGAAGAACACAAGTCACTGAACTGGAATGAGCCGATTGTAATTGTGTAAACACGATTTACAGGGTCAATGGGTGAAATGCAGATCGATTATCATTGGGGCTGTCGATACTGATAAGGTCGATAGCGAGACCGACCGGTCGCGTGACCCCCAATGTGAGCGAACGGTGGGATGTTTTGAACTCTCATCACACCACCCAAGTCCAGTAACGTTTTATTTCCTATTTCCCATTGTCAATCAACTCAGACAAGAAATAAAATGGCAAACAAAACAGATCACATTGTCGTAGTCTTCTTCGCTGACTCTAATTTAACAAAATTAGTTCATTCATTTCATCACTAGCCTTGGAATATTCTCTGAATTTCTCTGGATTTCGGTCAAAACTGATCAGAAAATCACTTTCAGATGTAAACCTGACCGATATTCAGTTTTATTTCGAATAGTAGTTGCGCGGGGGGGGGGGGGGGGNGGGGGGGGCGGCAAACGTAATGTGAACTCATTTGTCCGGAATCATCCTTTCTCAACCCATGCGCCTTAGGGTTTCACCATGCCCCAGTTCTGGTGAAGACAATGTGCACTCACCTCTGGCTGTCTCCCATCAGCACGTTTTCCCGGTCCATCACATACACTCGGAGAATCGGGATCGAGATGATGAGGGTGTGGCCAAATTACGCGTAAATGAAGTTGAACACAACACGCAATTCACGGTCACTGCCTTGGATCACTTTCAAGGTCATGTTACGGGGGCATTGCGTTCCCGGGAGTAGCGGTACCACATACGCAAGATCACACATTTCCGGGTGAGACGTTTGCTTAGCACGAACAAGGATCCGCTATTCCGTTTGCGCAGCACTCGTTTCAGGTTCAGATCAATCGCCTGAGTACGCTTACACAAAGGTTTGGGTAAAATTGTGTATATTTTGTTGAAGTAATTAATGTATCTCACTGTATGATGGTGCGGTCGAACTGAAAGATATATATATATATATATACATCACAAGTCTTAGGCCAGACTGTCCGCTAGACAAATCATGGTACAACAATCTTCATAAAAAAATAAAACGTTCTATGACTGGCTTGTAGGCTGAATGCTGCCAGGTTGCCCAGGACAAAGCAGGTGAATTTTCTTGAGAAATACAGAGCCAGCGCCTTCGGCTAGCCAAAGCCTGACCCGTAAGACAGTGGGGCGGTGTGTGAAAACCGCAATCCATTGGGGGCCAGTGTCCAGTTCATCGGATGAGACGCCCTTCTGATGGGGTCAAACATTCAAGGTGTCCAATACACCTCGGTGTCCATTTGAACCGGTGACCACTGCCACAACCAGGAAGTTGCATGTGTGGTTCGTACGCCTCCTCTTGGTTGGCTTAGAAACAGGATTTTTTGGACAACTCGTCTAGGTGATCTACCAGTGATCCACCAATCCGGTTATGGCCCGGGATATCGACCTTTGGTCCTCCCACCTTGGTGAGAAAACACCTCCGTCACGAGAAGACCGTGAGTAAGGCTTTATCAGTAGAGGCTTTTTGAGAGGCTTGATCGTACAGGAGCATTTCGCGAGATGCAAGAGAAGAGTGACTAGCCGAAATCCTAGACACCCACCCCCAACCACATCGAAGATTTCAGAGGCCAAAATGAAATAGCACCGAATCATATCCGCAGGAAGCGAACCATGTAAATGGTGCAAAAAAGCAAACACCAGGATTAATTTTGGAAGTTTATTTCTCGTGTCTCATATAGTGAGAGTTCTGCAGATGCGAATTCGATACATATATATGATTTCTGGTCCAAACCGCGTCACAACAAGGAATTTGAAGACACTGTTCATCTTTTTTGAATTCGTAAACAGTGCATAATCGAGTACCTCAACTGGGACTGAGCCAAAATCCCAACATTTTGAGCTGCACCACCACCCACTATAGCCAAAACTGTTATGGTACGACTAGTATGAGTAACAACACATCTTCCTCAGCGCAGGCTAAATTGAATGATTCTTGTCGATCGTAAATAAACGTCCGGTCTTGTTTTACTTCATTCCATCGATTACCTAATCAAACTTGATCGCAGAAGCACGACCGATTTTCTGGGGCAAGGTAACAAGGTGTAAGCTGCACCACGTTTCCCCAAGGGCGTGAAGTACTGCAGACCTAATTCACTTGGTTTCACCAGATGACATCTCTTCTGGATACACGGGGACGGTGATCCGTCGTACCGGATTAGTTCACAGCCTCCATACTACTGAGAGTTCACATTTATGTAAATCTTGTTCTCCGCCTAAGTTGAACCTTTTAAAGCATTCACCAACAAAAATGTTTTCTTAAATACGAGAAAGAAAAAAGCGTGAATTATATTTGAAATGGAAAAGTGTCTGCCGTGTTTGTACATGTGAATTTCGTTGTGGATGATACAAATCAAGTGGAATATCACAAACAGCGTTCGACAAACAAACAGACCCTGGTGTTTGTGGATTCAGATGTACGTAATGTATGTATGCGTATATAGTATTGTGAATTTTTCATCTACTATCCACCATTCACTCACAGACGAGGTCGAGGTCGAGGTCATTGCATCCAGATCATTACAAGAATCAGAATCTCAGGTAAAAACCGCATCCTATCAGCGTTGTGGAAATTTTGGGGAACATAGACCCTCGGTATACATGTGTCGCGTTACTCCGCGCATCTTTCTTAAACACCTACTTTTATTCATAATCCGTACAGGGGAATGATACTTTAACTTGCGTGTTGTGTGTGTGCTTGAACACCCCCCCCCGCCCCCTAACCACCTCTTAGTGCCAAACCTTACCATCTGCTCTGCCTAACGGTGATTTCCATCCCCAGGAACGAGATTTACGAATTATTTAACTCATGTATATGTGAAGAATTTAAAAGTTATCCAAGATGTTCTTTGCCTCAAAATTAAGACTACGAGACAGGTGTCCGAATAATTGGGTCTAACGGTGAACTTAATCCCCGACGAAAGTGAATCGCGTGAAACCAACTCAAAGTTCTCGTAAACTGCCGTAATTGTTATTAAGCTCACAGTTGCCTGTGGGTAGTGGTGTGGGATAATTGATACTGATTTGAACTGACCATCCTTCGGATTTTATACACACGCACAATCCTCATTTCATCCAATCAATCATACACTCGGAAGTATTAGATTACTCTGATTTCGCTCTTATTAGAGCTCGCCAGTAGTGTATATCTACCATTACTCACAAGTATCTGTAAGTTNAAGACTTGATTTGGTTTGAGGATTTAGATTGGAGTTAACAGTTGGTCGCCTGTGTCTCCCTACGATGCTGTCGGACCAACAGTGAACTGACTGACTATCACTAAAGACGACACATGAACAAGCATGAATTGGCAACTCCGTTCAACCTTGGTATGAACTGGCTGGTACAGCGGTAACACACACATGCCTTCGATGCGATGAGTCCGGAGTCCAAAACCCGGACGAGACGATGAGGAGCTCTAATGTGAGAGAAACTAAAGTAATCCAGTGCTTCTCGAGTGTGTGGTTGATTGGATGAACTGAGGATTTGGGTGAAGGTGATATCCGAAGGATATTCAGTTCAAATCAGTATCAATTATTCCACAAAACTACTCACAAATATCTGTGAGTTAAATAAGAAATACATAGCTACTCTAACGAGTTTCAATAATCACTGAATTCCATATTGTGTTATTGAGATAAATCGTAATTCTGATTCAGATTAACATTTAGTCAATACATCGGGATGGAATGATTCATCAACGGTCCCCTGCAATGCAAGAGAACTTGCAACGTTTTCACCATCTTCCCATTCGGTATCCCTTTTTAAATGATTTCAACTCTCCTCCCTTGAATAAAGTCATCAAAAACACAAAAGCGAGCAGCATTCATTCTTTTTGGATTTCATCATTTACGGTGATTAACAGGGGTATCATTTTGTTGGTTTAAGCTCCTGAATAACGTTCCGTGTGTGTGTGCGCGCGCACAATTACTGAATTACTAATCCAGCCTAGTAGGTTCATGATAAGTCAGCCCATAATCTGCATGGAAGACTTGATTTGGTGTGACTTTCGATTGGAGTCAACAGTTAATCGTCCTTCGTTGATGTCGGATCCTAAGTGTACTGACTGACTATCACTAAATACGACACCTAAACAAACATTAACTGGCAATTTGGTTCAGTCCTGGTATGAGCTGGATGGCACAGTGGTAACACATACGCCTTCTATGCCCAATGGGTCCGGAGTTGAAATCCCGGATGGGACAGTGGATATGAGCAACTGATGAGCTCTAATAAAAGCAACATGCACGTCTAGTGTTTCGGACGGTGTGGAGAACTGGAAGAGCTGAGAGCTTTGTATCAAGGCGAAATCAGAAAGGTGGTCAGTTCCAATCAAACTACTTTAAACTAACTCAACATTTTATTCTATTCTTATCCATACGTTATTCTACTGCCCTTCTCAGATATTTTAAATCAACTAGTTGAATTTTGTTGGCTTCTGATGAGTAAGCTTTACGCGAATAAAACCTACCGATTAACACTGTCAACGACCGGTAATTTCAGAAATAGTAACTAGAGAGCGCCACAACATCTATGTATATTTATTAAAACAGAAGTATCATATCAAAATAAAAAGAAAAAATTGATATATCTCTGTGTCACATACACATACACAAGCACACATAAGACTGATCTCGATCTGTGCACGTTCGTGAGAAATTTGGCAAATTAGAAATGGCAAATGTAACGTGAACTGAAAAGCTAGATAGCACTAGCCAGCTGTTTCGACCTGGTTGGATCTCATCAGTAGCAGTACGATTCCATCGACCCATTTGGAGATTGAACCCAGGACCTCACGAGCAGAACGTAAGCATGCTACCCACTCGGCTACCGGGAAGCTGATCAGACCGCTTTTCATTTTCCATTTGCATGATATAGCACAACTCATCTTTGCGAGCTTGTTGTGGGTCATAAACCCTGCTTATCTCAGCACTAGCTTACAAGGTTATGACTCGGTTGGAAACTTTCACAACCTGATTAGTTAGGTCGATGGATTTGCACTGCTGATGAGACCCACTCAGGTTGAAACAGCTATCCAGTGCTTTCTAGCTTTTCAGCTCACGGTTCATTTGCAATGTTCACCTTTGAAATTGAATCAAATCCTCCGTTATTCACTTGAAAATTAGATATATCTGTCGTATTTTTCACTGCCAGTGGAAACTATTCGTTTGTAACAAATCAACGAGTACTTTGGTTAATGCATTTGTATTCCACTGTCGGTGGTGGCCAAGTGATTAGATCACCAAATTATGACTTGTAGGCCCTGGGTTCAAACCGTTCAACTGCCACCCGTCTTCCCAGGCAGTCTTCGTATGGCCGCGGTCTCCTTCCTGAATGTTGATTGTACATTTGAATATTCACTAAATAAACAAAAAGTAAAAAGACAGTAAAAGAACTGCCGCCTGCCCCCTCGCTCTACTTCTTTTTCACTGGTTGATTGAAATGAATTTTTTTACTTTGTTGCATGATCCGTAAAATATATTTGCGGATTCAGTGGTGCATCCAAACACGTTCTGCTGAACGCATGTGGTGATTTCATTTTCGAATCTCTCAGACTGGCATCCTCCTTCATTATCGTTATTCACGTATGTGTGCATCATTTAAAAAAAATTTATCCTCACCTCTAAACACCGCAAACCTGTTCCGCCCTATACAGTTTGTGTGCTTGTTGCGATGAAACAAATCGTCGACATAGCCATCGAATTGCGTGGT